AAGGAAAACAGCCATAACATACCTCTTGAAGACAGTTAGCATTATCTTGTAAAGATGAAAATACTTGTTCTTGACTGTAAAATAGAATGTAAGCAGTAGAAGCAGTACATTCTCCTATTTATATCCTAAGATCTCATTTTCCTTGCCTTGAAATTACTGAAAGCATTTTCAGAGGCTTAGGGGAAACAGGACTGAGTTCTAGTGAGTGATACAAAACCTAGTGAAGTCAATAAGATTTTTTTCTTTCATTTCAACAGCCTTTTGATTAGACCCTTGGAGAGGACTAGTACTGGAATCTGCAGCTATAAATTAATCAGACCACATCTCCAAAATGAGTGTATTCTGCCTAGAAATAGTCAAGTTTGGCACGGAATATCACTCAGTGCTCTCAGGAGGTGAAAACTATTTTATCTTTTCATCAAATATTATCTTCTTTCTTAAATGGCAGGTTCGCAGCCACAGCTAAGGAAATGCCCAAGGAAGCAGGCTAAGGGCATTAGCTGTTTGCCAGGAGGAGAAGGCAATGCCAGGGAGCACACACTCAAACTCACACTGAGTCAAAATCACACACCTTTTCACAAACAGGATCATTCTTTTACACCTTAAACATCAAGAGAACCTGAAATTCAAGGCCATAAAGAAAACACTTTCAGACATTTGTATGTGAATGACATTGTGAACACTGCACAGTGTTTTACTTATATCCAGTGCAGACACTGCTCAACACTGTAATACGTAGGGTTCCAAACATGAAAAATATTGGACCATCCAGTATTCATCTACCATAAAGTTACTATACTTTACACAACAAAACAAAATTAGTAAACTATGACATTAATGATAGAGATTGTTTCTCGGGCATACGGTAAGCATAGTGTCCATTAAGATTTACTGGGCCTTCTGATAAATATTCAGCGCAACAATTGTCCCTATATGTTATTTTCAGCTGTGAATTATCTAACCCTTCTCATGCTGAAAGATTCGTAGAACACACTTGAAAGCATAACCAGCTGCTTGTGGTTTCAGAGAAATACATGAGGTAAAATGTAACACAGAAGGTAAGAACATAGTCTGATAGGCAAAACAAAGACATAGAAAGTAGCATTTATGAATTCTTTCTTTTTGCCACTGGTTAGTGTGTCACCCGAGGCAAATCTCATCTGCATCGTACTGTAGCTCCTGTATATGCAAAATAATATTACCCCAAATGAATCTCATTAAACTTAATTTATGTTTATATATGTTTTGAGAAATTCGTACAAAAAGTGCAGTCGGTTATCATACTGTACTATGTTCCTGGGCCATTTAACCCAATTCTGAAATAAATCCTAGTGACGTAAAGGCATATAGAGGGACTGCACTTAGAAATTAGTACTAGAACTCAACTCTTCTGAACATGATACTTCCCCAAAGAAGTCATGATTTCAGATATAGGGATAAAAACGGAATATATGAGTATATAGATGAAATTTGCCCAGGACACCAGGCATGGTCTAATAATACAAGTGCAATAATAAAACAGATGTTTAATGATCTCTGAACTTGTACAAAAGACAGCATTTCTATAGCACAGAGTATCCCAGAAATGTATTAAAGCACTGACTCAGTTTTGATTCATAGATTAGCACTGCTTAACCAACAACTGCCTTACCCTTAATTTTTTTTTTTAGCCAAGCACTGATCCTGACCAATCTTGCTTGTTTTTTTATGAATTCTGATGAGATCACATCCTCAGATGACATAGCTGCAGGCTGCATAGCTCTCCTCAATTTTTAGATATAGAAACAGAACGCTTAGTATCCTTTGTAATTAAAAGTGGCTTCAACTGATAACGTTTTATGACAAGAGCAGAGGACTTTTTTGGCATGTGGCCCACAGAGTTACCCATCAGTATTAATATTCTGGAGCACAGCTGTCCCCAAGCTGCCCCTCTTGTCAACTTGTTGCTTAGCTCAAGGCCATAAAATTATTATGTCCTTTTTGTTTTGCCAATCGCTATGGCAAAAATAAACATGTTATTTCTGTGCTTGTCCTACAACTATCTCCTGATTGACTTGTTAACTTCGAACGGGAAAAAATGCATAAATAAATATAAATATTGTCATCTGATTGTCCGCTTTTGTTTCTCTCTCTACTTTCAAAAAGCATTGGGTTTTTTGGTAGTACTTTATAAAACTGAAATATATCAAGATATTCAGAAGGTAAATGCAATGATTCTAAGCAAACTAAGATTTTGTCAACAATTTATTTTCCTGACTTCTAGCAAAGACAATTATCAGAATTTTTGTTTGGCTCGTTTCCAACCACTTTGTCCAGCTTCTTTATGAATTTTCTGGTTATCATCAGAGCTATGGCTATCGTTCATGAGCATTTGTTCCAGGGGACTGTTGTTTTGCATTGCTAAGTGTTTCAATCCAACTTTATTAAAACTACCTGGTTTTCTCTCATTTGGACCTTCAGTTGCTTGGGTTTGCCTGAAATCTCAGATATACTCTTATCAAATTCAGGATTTATATCTGAATATTTAGCAGTGGGTTTTTTGTTCCAGGTTTATGAACAAACTTCCACAGATCTTCATCCAGAAAAGGTATATTGGTATATTTGGAAGTGAGATTGAGCCTCAAAAGAATTTTCAGTGCTTAGCAAGATAGATTCTCAAATAGTTTTTTTTTTTTTTTTTTTTTATCTTTTGGTATTTTTAGATGATTTCAGTCTCTTTCCTCTTCCATTTGTGCCTTCCTCAGCCTTTCTATATCTCCTCTTCTACCCTTCCTTCCTTTTCAGTCTTTTTTCAGAGCTCATTCTTTTTCCTATCACTTCTGTTGTCTCAGGTTTTGGAAATACCTTCCTACCGTCACGGCCACAACCTATTGGGTCTCCTTTGCCTAGTGCCCTGGTAGAGAAAGGAGACAATATCCTGCTTATTCTCACTCAATCTCCAGCTGCCCAACAAGCTTTGTAAAGTTTCAATGTCCTTGTGTACTCTGTTCCTTGTTACCCAACACATCTGGGTTGCAGCATATATTCAGAGTCATATCTGGTCACTTCAATTCTAGAAATAAAATATTCCATCATTTTAACTGCTATTAGCCTTAAGCAATCTAGAAGTCAGAGACTGAGCTTGATTCTATTTCTGTTCATGTATCACTGGCAATGTTTATTAAAATTCTGCTAGGGAGAGAGTCAGATGTATTAGTGCAGTCTCAATGGCAATAAAGAAGTTACAAGGAGATACCTAGGTAAAATTTTGCCTTCATAAATACATATATAGAGAGGCAGTTATGCAAAGGCAGTTTTTTCTAGGGATGCAAAAAATGTGAAGAACCCAATCTGGCTTCTGAGCAGGAATGGTAAGAAAATTATATTTACTCTTAAAAGGATGTTTCATCTGGAAGACAACCTAAGAAAATACTCTTGGAGCCTTTCTACCTCATTTTTACTTTAAAAATTAGAAGTGTAGAAATGTAAATTTTAAATAAAAATTTAAAATAGAACTATCATTTTTTTAACTTATGCCATTTATTTGCCCAGTCTGTAAGCCATCATATGACAATCCCTGGTGAAACTTTCAGACATTTCTTCTCTCAAGAATGAGATGGCGTACTAGAAAAGGTGAACCTCTGGTCTCATACACTATTGCAGTTTAGCTGTTGCCACATCTCAGAGCTTTGGTGATGCTCCCACTGTGAGAAACTCAAGTATATGTAGAGTATCCCTTGGGATCTTGGGCATTATAACGTATTTATTGGGAAAGGATGGAGTGGACAGAAGTTGAGGCATGTCCAATACTCTTGACAGGTACCAGGAAATTTTTAACACCTACAAAAATAACTTGACATCCTTTTAACCTAAGATTTTGTCTTCATGAAAGGCAGCTTTCTACAACTGTTCCACTGACTCCAACACTTTAGCGCCAATGCTAGATCTTTTGAGCTCCTCCATCTAATTAAAAACATGAAGCTACTAGATCTTGTTACTAGAATCCTGATGATAGTGAAAATGACTGTTTTGCTCAGAAAGGATTATAGTTGAGTAGGAGAGGTCATATACCAAATGTGAATTATACTTACTCAAAAGATGTGCATAAGTTTTTTTTTTTTGGCATCCTGGTTCACTCAGGTCAAAAAATCATCATTATCAGTCATTTTGTCATACTTCGACTGTCCATTTTTCAATTTGCTTAATAACAAATTGCTCTGGACCTTAGACTTTATTGCAATATTTTAAAGGTGCTTCATTCTACAAGTGTATCTCATATAATAACAGAAATTCCCTAGGTTCTTTATTGGGAGTGAAATTCTGTAAAATTCAAGAGTATTTAAGCTTTTTACAGAGGTTGTGCAGTAGGACCAAAATGGACTGCAAGTGGGCATCTCTAGTGGTATTGCATGAACATTATGAGGAACCGAAGGAAAACTGGATAAGAAACCTACTACCATCTTCATTAAAAAGAACCCTGACACTCACAAGTTTAGATTAAAATAATCACACACAATAATTAGCAGTTAAGAGTCTTTTCTATAATTGCTTTCCAGCTCCTCCTTGATTTTTAGGCTCCCCAAGTAGCTCAGACGTCATCTGCAGAGAGCAGGTGTTTATTGATAAAGCACATTTCCTGCTAGAAGGGCAAAATCTTATTGAAACTCTCTCACAGTATTGGCCAAGTTAATCATTGTTCATAGCTCAAGGACTTCACGTTTTCATTGCATTAGCTGTTGGCTCTCACACATCAAGGCCTTGTAATTAAATGCATGCATCAGCAGATTAACTGAAAGCTTAATTTTGGAGGGGTTACATTTTACTTCACAAGGTTATTAATTTATTAATTTGTGGTAACTGCCCATGTTTTATAGTTTTAGAAGTGTGTCAGCCCTACCTGGGTCACTGCTGTTTTGTACCCTTGTGTTTTGATTATCACAAAATGATTGTATTTGTTTTGCACCCAGATAGCATTTTCTTTCCAGAATGCATTAATCATTATTAATTTTGTATCTCTATAGACTCTTAATGTGACAGATGAAAATTTTGTGTTGGAAACACTAGCTGGATGCATAGAATATAAATCCCTATTGGATGTAGTAGTCAATGCCTTCTATGTTCGGGATGGGAAACATTGCCTGTTCTCTGAGCGTAATCTCTATGTGGGTAAGTTTTTTTTTTTTGCCAATTTTTTACCTTTAAAAAATATTATTTTATTAGTTCAGATGTTAATATTATATTAAGGTTGAAGCATTGTCCTGATGTTCAATGTAGTATGAAATTTAGGACCTTTTCCAGTGTATTTACAAAGTAAAGCCTAAATCCTGATATCCGCCTCTAGTCTCGACTTTCAGAGGTGTTAATGGGATACTCCTCTAAGAAAGTTCTGCAGAAGGTTAAGTTAGTCACAATTTACAGATGGAAAAAAAACCATCAGGGACTATAAGAAGTATTTTGAACAGTTCAACTACCAATTTTAAATTGTTCTTCAATGACTTCTCTTTATTCTCTTCTATACCATTCGGATATGAAACTGCTGAAGAAAAAGCCATCTGCTGAGGAAAGTAGGAACACCCTCATAGTATGACCACACTGTTCCTTCTCTCCACACAGAGGTTTCTGTCTTGCAACCTTTGTTTTTGGTATTCACTCTAACATGAGCAGACCCCTTCTCTCCATGAGCTAGGTCACTTCTCTTTCTTTCACTAGTCAGAATCAGTCATAATACAACTATACCTGATTATATGAGCTAGTTAATCAGAGTAATTAGTATTCCCAAAGTTATTTCTGTAGTTGAGAAGCACATTAAATAAATATTTTTAAAATATTTTTATGCAATGAAGATATGCCGAGCTTAATTTATAAATTTCCTGAAGAAGTTGGAATTCCAAATCACTCTGTCATTGGCTCTCTAAGTCATACATATTCTGAAGTTTTGTGGGCACTTTTAAAAATCCAATCATTTTTTATTTTAAGTAGTGCACTTTGAAGAGTAAATAAATACATCTAATTAACTTAACGTTTTGTGTTTTAAAAGCTATTAATTTTCACTGAAACATTAGTTGCTTCTGTCACAATACTAAGTTTAGTATAGAAATCTAAATATCAAACTAAGAGGAACCAACTCTCTATGGATAAAATTAAATTCATATTGAGTTTATTGTAAATGATAATGCTTCGTTGTCTGCATTGCTCCAAAGACATGTTTTTCAGTGTCTGGGACACATAAATTGTACCTTTAAGCTGAGTGTTGCTGCAATTGGATTGGCAGGACCAGTCTGTTTCCAGGCCTCCATTAATCAGAGGCAAAGGGGAGACCCCAAAAGATTTTCCTTTGTCAACAAGTTGGGAGTCTAAGGTCATTGGCTTAGGGTTTTTTTTTAAGCTGCTTGTGATTTCCCTTGCCAAGCTTCATTGACACTTAAATGATCAAAGCTGCTTACAAAGGCTGTTGCTATGTGTGAGCAGCTTTGAATTTAATAAAGCTTGTAGCAGATAAATGTATATTCCACTAAAACTGCTTACACATGTTGCTATGCTGGGGCACGAGACGCAAGTCTCTAACAACACACGCCAGCTCGGCTGCAGCATGTTGGTCAGGATTTACTGATCACTGCTGTTTGGTGGCACCTAAAAGACTCGAGTGCAAGTGAAGCCTGATTGAGCTTCACAGTCACTGCGGTTAAATAAAGGTTTATGCAGCAGCTCCTCAGCTTTACAGGTCCATCGAAATCTCACAGCACTGACTGTGCCTCTTCCTGCATCAAACTCTGTATGTGCTGGTGCAAAGTGTACGAATGACATTTTCTATTTCCCAGAGAATTCTGCAGTTTAAAATTTTGTTTCTATTCTGCCTCAGAATTTTAAAAATTACAACTTTTTCTGCAAAATGGTTACCCTTCAAAAGACTTCAGAGCAAATGACATGCTGGATTTTAATATGATATTTTCTGGTAATATTTTTGTTATTTGCAACAAATTGTGATTTGGGAACAGAAGAACTACCTGCTCTGAAAATAGTAAAAACAGAATATTAGTATTTTCTTTTACATCTTCTGTTCACATAAAATTTTACCAGAGTAAGTTTGCTTATGCCAAATGAGCTCTTTCCAAAAACTGAATCCTATCTGACCCCATTTCCTACCTTCTCTTAGAGTTTAGCAGACACCCAGTGACCTAATCAAGAAGTTGCTTCAGGCTTAAATTCACAATCAGGTTTAACTTGACCGTGTGGGTGGTTTTACCTGCCCAAAGAAATAAATGCCAGGAAGGATGGGAAAAAGCAAGCAAGATTTGATGGAGCTGCCTGGTTTAGTGGTGGGGTTTCAGTAAGGTTTCCAGCCTTACTGTAGCCACACTCCACCATGGCAGATCTTCCAGTGTTGCAAATAGATATTTACAGGCTTCAGAAGGCCCATGGAATCACTTTAGATTGAACAATAATTTTTAATGCCTTTTGTGTATATGCACAGATCCTCAAGTATTATAATTTCCAGAAAATTATGGAATTAGCTTACATGTGACTCAACATAAATAAGTGATCTATGTGCACCATAAGATAAAGTCACCAATGCTAATAGTGATCATAAAATTAACATTATAATCAATCATTATACTCTCTAGCTTGATAAACACTCTTCAAGAATATATAAAATTGTAATAATGGTGCAAATCTCAGAGTATAATGATTAGAAGGTGTAAGTTTCCTAGAATTTCCTGCTATGTTTTAAATGTTTGTATCTTTTGACAGTTATTTGTTATTTGGCCACTTTTCAACTGGAAGAGCTTGGACTTCAGTACTTCAGCAGAGTTGTGAAATCTTTGGATACTGCAAAAATGCATAAGGTAATGAAAGTACCAAACATGTTCAAAATAATAACCATCTCTTCATTATTTTTGATGAATCTGATGATTTTCTTTCAACTCTTAGCATAATTTAATTTGAGAAATTAGTGTTACTTTCTATTTAAATTATACAAAATCAGTATTCTGCTGTCATAAAATTCTGCTTCAATTTGACTAGCTCGTATTCAGTCAAAGATCAGGTCAAAATGTATTTTACATCATCTGAGATTTTAAGATGACCAGCTGACTTACAGATCATATTATTTACATATGATTTTATGATCTATTTTACTCACTCTTGGTTCTGCTGATATTCTTCCTTTGATTTTAAGGCAACAGAACAAACCTTTTCCATAAGCAATGAATCCGTTGAAACCTGTGGTTCCTTCTGATTTGCATTCTCTTTTTTTTGCCTGAACAGTCTCATACCACTTTGATTATTTGCCCATTCTTTGCAATCCATCTCTTTTTCTCCTTCCCAAGGAACAATGGCTAATTTGGAGCTGTGCAAATACCAATTACCCAGTTAGAACATGTACAAAATTGGTCAATTCATCGCTGCTAAAGAGAAAGCACAAGGGCAACGTTCTGCCTGCTTTTTTCTCATTCATGTCACTTATTTGGATTTCTTTCCTCTGTCTGCTAATTTTCTTTTAAATTGAAATATCTTTTGCTTCACTTTCAAACTGTTTGAAAGTGCTATTTTTCTCAAAATCTCTGTAAGGGATGGGCAGGCAGAGGGCTAAACAGACAATGTTTTCTTATAAGCCCCGTTTTCTTACAAAACTAGACTAAAAATGAAATAACTGCTGACATAGCATCTGTAAGCTGATCATCCAGATGCTTCAAAATGTGTCCAAACACAGGGCTTGAATAACAGCTGTGCAGTTTTCTGTGTAAGTGTGAGACTCAGAAGCTAGGCAAAGTTTGGTAATCAGTATTCAAAAAGCCAAGGTTTATCTTTATACTAATTACTTTGAATGTTCATGTGAATGCTAGAGCCCATTCCATGGGTGCAATTGTAAATAGTGTGCAGGGAGAAAGAAGGTTAGGTGGTCTGTAAAGTGATTTTAGAAACACTTTATTTTGATGAGCTTACCATGGAATACTCGTATTAATTCTGCTCAGAGACCAAAATGATACATTTCATTAACTGACAGAAAAAAATAGAGAGATGTGCAGAAAAATTATCATAATCTGATAGACAGACAAATCACTCTTTGTCTAAAAAGCTCTCCCAGACCTTTCTTTGATAAACAGCTTAGAAACAAGCCACAGGATTGGATGCATCTTGAGCTCATGCAGCTAGCGACAGTCTTCCCACTTGGTGCCAGTTACCTGTTGTTGATTCCATTCACCCAGTTTTATGTGGCTTGAGCATCACCGTCCTGACACTTGATTTCAAATAATGTCTCCTTCCTTGTCTGGAATAATTTTTCTAATGTCTCCTTCCTTGTTTGGAATAATTTTTCTTCTGATGGGAAAGTGCAGCATTATGTGATGTTCTGCGCCTGCTCTTCTTTTCCCATACATGTAATTTTGCTCAAATGTCTTATCAGATCCTCACCACCATCACACCTAGCTTTCCTTCTCTTGCATCAAAAGGGGTTCTTTGTCTCCCAACTGATGCTAAATTACATGAATGCACCTGCAGCAGAGGATTTAGAAGCAGCATTTGGTCCCCCAGCAACAGAGACAAAAACAGCAGAAGGCAGATTTGCAGCCGTAGCAACAGCCTAAAGTTGTTAGAAATTTGAGATGCTCCTTCAGGATACTGACCTGTAGATATCCTCTGATGACTACTGAATCCAAGTGCAGCTGAGGTGCAAAATAACTATTCACATATATTTATTTGGAATAGATTTACCTTAATTTAAAAAGAAATGCTTCTGAACATCAGACACTGACTGGGATTATCTTAATCATGCATATTAATCAGTAGTCTTCATGAAATTAAGTGGATTATTCACATGAATGAGATCCATTTGTGGGAGTAGATCTTTCTGTTAGAGGATTGCATGGTGGAATCTGTTCTAATCACAGTTGAAGTGTTTCCCTATGCCTGGTTCATGTTTAAATATTTTCATTTAGGCGGAATATCCAGGCATAAAAATAATGCTTGGACAGGAAAAAATATGAGATCTCGTTTTGTAATGTTAAGAATCCATGCAGGAATTCTTTATGATTGTGTAAGTACAAAATCCCAAAATACACCACTATTTTTTATCCTCAGCAGGATTGTATCAGTAAGGAACTTAGCTATGTTTCGCTAGTTCAAGTCTATTTTTCATTATTCATGCTTGTTATTTTATTTTTGTGGTAAAATTTCAGGGTTTGTATGTTAGAAAAAAAGGCATTTGAAGTAAAAAGTTGAAGAAAATAGCTTTATAATTTCATACTTGTATAAAATGCAAAATGACTAGCGTTTCCTTCTTAGCTTTCAGGATCCTGTTTTGTTCAGTTTCAAATTCTCGTTGCTGCTAACAGTAGTGAAGTCCTTTATATATAACGACCTTTGCAAACTGCAAATGAAAAGCTCTGTATAAGAACTGGGAATTATAATTGCTATTTTGATGAAGTAGGAGCGGGCAAGATCAGGCCCCTGGAGGACGTGTGGGCAAAAGAAGTCAAAACCGAGTCAAATAATGGTAAGGGCTCCGAGACCATGCTAGGACACGTTTATTCATCAAGGATTCTCAAAGCATAACCACTCATTACAACCTCTAGGTAGGAAAGCCTTGCTGAGGGCCCCTGGCCTTCCTCTCCATTGCTGTGTTGCAGCTGAAGGGCAACCTGGACCACAGGCACTTGGACAGGCCCAACTGAAGAACTGAGCAGGAACTAAGAGGGAAAGAATCAACAAAGGAAGGGAGGAGTAAACAGGAACCTTCTCAACTACCAAATAGCTGTGGGTGTGTTCAGGCAGAATTATCTCATTCTCAGGTAGTGACTGGTCTGTGTGGGGAAACTGGATCTGCTTCTGCTTTCGGTGACTTCCTGAACTCCAGAGTCAAAAGCTTGTGCTGTGGGGATAAAGATTTTAGCTCTGCAAATGACTGTATGGTTGCAAAGATAATCCTAGACAAGGAAACTTCTCACTCTGTTGAAAGATCTATATACAGTCTCACCATTTAAAAATGCATTAAGGCCCTATTTGCAGAGCATGTGCAAATTCCCCAAAACAAGACATTAGTTCATCCCCCCTATGCAAATTAAAGTCTTCAAAGCAGACTTTAATTATACAGTCCTGGTGTGTTTTATGGTGACCAGTGGTGTATGATGACCAGTAAAGAGTAAAAATGTATACAATTCATTCCTGATGTAATTCCACCTTTCCCAGATAAGTGAATCTGTCTTATGCTCTATGAGTTCAGAAACTACTCTAGAGTGGAAACAGAAGTGAGCAGAATAATGCTGTTACCAGAACAACTGCCTGGTGGCTCCCCCAAGCAGACTGATACTGGTATTATCTGAAAAATAATCGATGAGGACTTCAAGATGAACTCTGCAGCTATAAAAGCAGATACTGCTGACGCTGGGGATGTTACCTGCTCACATGTGGCCAACGACAAAACTGACATATATGGGATTTTTTCTTATGATCCAGTTCACACAGCAGAGAAGTTCAAATTGCAAAGAAATGTAAAATGTTACATGGCTTCAAGGGTCCAGCTCTGCCCACCTTCACCACCTGTGGTATGGATTATCAAAGCCAAGTCTGTGACATGGGCCCAGACGGGCTGGGTCAGAACTGGCGTTTGGCAGTCTCTGGGTTGCCCTTTGCTGTCCTCATGCTGCCCTTGCAGTGCTGGGTGACCATTCCCGGGCAGTGCTCAAAGCCTTCTCTGGTGTGACACATGGGGCACATCTTTATTTTAGCATTCCTCTAGAGGCTGAGACTGACACACAGAATACCCAAGTGTATATCACAGCAGCAATATCTGATTACACAGTTCACCATTTCCTGTAAGCCACAGAGGCACCTCATGACATTTGTTAATCACATAATTACTCGTTTGTCCCAACAGAGTGTGAAATGGTAATGGCCAATACCTAAGTGCAGATGCAGGAGAGGCAGAGATAGAAGCCAACTGTTAAAGACAACACTAGAAATCACTAACTGTGAGCTGCTGACAACAGGAAAAAAAAAAAACAAAGAACTCTGAGTTGTTTCAAAGCTAAATGATCAGAATAATATATATTAAAGTGTTAGGTCGCTGTGAATAAGCTGATTTGATAGGTCAGTGAGAATGGACTAGGCTACATAAAAGGAAAACTAATGATACAGAGAGGTAGGAGCAGTTTAGCCTGAAGAAAAAGCTAGTGAAAAAAAAATGTAAGATTTACAGATTACAGCCTGCAGTATTTCCACATCAACAGCTTCTGTGAACATTGTAAGTATCCATAAAATTGAAACTAGCTCCTCCCCTCAGAGTCTCCCCTATTTTAAGTATATCAGTTTGTTTTCATTCCACAGTTGTATATAGACCTGTTTAAATTGGTTTAAAACCCATATTTTTGATAAACTATGAGTATAAGCAAAGCCTTAAACAGAGTAGGAAGAATACCATTGCAGTAGCTCTGCCTCCTCAGTCCTCTGAGTCTATAATCACAACCAAACTTTGGATACCTGGATATAAAATTTTGTTACGATAACTGGTAGAAAGTAGTACGTATGAGGTCCATCGGTTGTCTTGGAGAATATAAATTCTACTTAGTGTTTTAGCGTTTCATATCTACATTGCAGCAGTGCAAATGTCAGGTGCAAAATGGAATCCAGCATGCGTGTATTGCAGAGAAGATGCTCCTTGAGAAGAACCAAGCTTTTCAACAGGAGGATGGAGCATATTTCCTTATCATATACTTAGCAAAAGCACTGAAAAAACAGTTTCTTTTCTAATTCAAAGTTTAGTTTGTATTCATGCTCTTAGGGGTGAACGTGTCTTCTCTTGGAGGATGTGTTGATAACACAGCAGTTACACAACTGCAGTTTGGGGGCAGAACGGTACCTTCTAGACCAGAATGAGAATCTGGGGTGATAATTGCATTCAGGCTTTCAGCTGTTGCTTAGATTTCTGACCCTACCAAAAACGTAATAGCTGAAAATAAAACTAAATTCACAGATTATTTCCTGGAAATGGTTACTAGACTATAGGTTTCAAGTAACAGGTTTTCTACAGTTGTTGAACATCCATTAGCAAAAAGCCTGAGTCAATTCAGAGTTGTTTATCTCTGAGTTACTCACAAGGCTCTAGGCCGGGCCTTGCACCTGAACTAATAAGTTCCTTGCCAGACCTTCAGACACAAAAGTTCTGGAGACCACAGAGTACAGACTCCTTTATGGCTCTTCAGAAGCCAAAAAAAGATAAAACAGGAATGATAACAGGTCTGAACTAATAATGTCCATAATGGTATTCAGTTTATTTTGTGTTTCTATTATTGGGGTTATTCCAGCATAATATTTGCCTGTGTTGTCATTTCTAAGAATTTTAATGAAAAAGCTCAGATTCGGGTTTGCAGTTTCTGTCACTAACAATGGTAGGTGCTGAATCTAGGGCTGTTTTCCATAAGTCTCTTTCAAAAGGCTGTTTGAACAAATTTAGTTTTAGAGAAAGGCTGTTCACCTCCTAGTGAACTCCAGTGGAAAAAAAGGTTCAAATGTTAGTTGCTCTTTCTCCAGCATGTAGAGCCCTACAATGTAGAAGACTGCCAAAACCTTTTCTTTCTTGATAGTTGAAGCAAGTTTAAGGTGCATCAAAACACCCACGTGTTGTATCCAGTAGATTTTTTTGACAGTAAAAATGTTTTAGTATCTATTAATGTGTCATAAAAGAGGACTCAAAGATATGAATCTGTCCTAACAGGATGAAGAAGCAGCTACATATATTGAACATACTAGATTATAATTGTGGGATAAAATACAAGCAAGTTCTTCAGCAGTGTTTGTGGTTAAACCAATTATCTATCTGTAGTCTTATATATATCATGCATTCAGTTCAATACATTTAATCTTATTAGTTTCTTAGATTCTTCTTCAATACCTTGAATTTGAACACATGGATAAAAGATGAATGGAGTCATTTCTATGATTCTCTTTATGTAAAAGAGAACTGGATCGACCCATTGCTAAGGTAAGCAGTACTGAGGTAGTCTGTGGTGACCTCAAAGCTTAAATGCTTTGGAGAAAGTTTCTGCTGAAAAATCAGCTTGCTTTTAAAGTGTTTCTGCTGTTGTTGTCACTCAGAGCACTCTCCTTTTTTCGTGAGCCTATCATAATCCCTTTTACTTAACCAGAGGCAAGGTTCTCTCATAGAAAAGCCCTTTCCCAGCTGTTGTTCATCTCTTTCTCAGTGCCACTGAATGTGGCAGTGTTTCTCAGTGCCACATTTGTATTCCAAATACAACTAGAGGGTTCAATTTATCTTACAGAGTTAGATTCCAACCTCATAAGTCACTTCAACATCTGTATAACATTAAGTACACGAAAAAAAAATAATGTTTAACTTCCAAGAGACTGGATTTATCCTCAGCCTTGTTTATGCAGATGGTCCTAAAATCCCTTCTGAGCAAATCAGATAAGCAAGTAAACAAGCCCTTTCCAAATTATTATTTATTTACGCAGTTGCAGCAGCATTTAATGGTTTAAATGCTCTAATCTGTTGGGTGTGTCCACACACTGGCTGGGAGATGATACAGCAGCATGGGTGCCCTTGCCAAAGGGGAGGATTTTCACAAGGAGAAGAGCAGCCAGAGCTCAGGTCACACTGCAGCCTGCACTGCCCCTTCTTCACTGCTTTTACCAGGGGCAGAAAGATGAGTGCTCTCCTTGGCACGCCTGCGTGGCTGCAGTCACTCGTCTTCATTGCAGTATAGGGTACCACAGGTGATGGCAAACACTGTGAGACAAAACTGTTGCAAACTCTGTCAGCTGAAAAGGAGCTCACCTCAATTTCTAACCCTTACATCCAAGTCAGTATTACTAACCCTTTAATACTCTTTAGTTTATGCCAAATTAGCGAATGCAGTGATTTAAATTTGGCCTGCAATGTTTGCAATTCCACTGAGTTCTACTGGAATGGCAGGGATATATCTGAGGTCAGAATTTGGCTGAGTATGTTCTGGTATCAGCATTGTAATCCTAAAATATGATTACACCAATACAGACACAAATCTACAAAGACATACAAGCGCATCATACATTTCGTATATGTACATATGTATATACATAGATGCTTAACCTTTTGCTCATATTGCATGAATATAAAGATTATTGGACCTGTCATTCACGCTCAGTTATATTCAATGCATAGAGCACACATTATGCCTAGAAGTATATGCAAGTTATACAAGAAAATTCAAGACCATATTTGATTATTGCATTTGAAACTTCCTTCGAGGGGTTGAGGATACACCAATCATTTTAATCATTTCAGTATCTTAAATCATTTTAAATCTATCTTTTATTCTTTCTAACATCAAGGAAGTTAATATTGAGTCCCATTTATTTTAATGGAGCAAAGCTGTTTTCAGAAGTTATTTTTAAGCCTCACCCCATGATGACAGTACTAGCTAAGGTAACAGACGCAAACATATTGCTGTAAATTTGTAGTGTCAGCTGCTTTTTAATTCAGGGAAAACTCCCTTGCATGTATAATACTTAGGGGAAGGACACATATGGAGGAGGAATAACTGACATGAAGCTGATACCATAATTAGCCCTGTGATAACTTACTTGTTTATGTGTTACCCTGAGACTTTACACCTTCCTGTCATTCTTGGTAAGAAGTTCCAACATTCATACAAGCCAAAAAAAAAAAAAAAAAAAAAAAAAAAGAAATCATTTCAACTGCCCCACAGGCACCACATTTTATTCTATCAATTACTGATTAATTCTATGAAATTCCTTACATCTTTCTATTTTTTTAAAATAGAATTGCGAATTACATGTGCTATGAGATTAATCTATGCCTGCTGTGCCGGACAGCAAGACTGATGATACTTAGACCAGTGTTTGCCTGTTGTCTTTCTATTTGTATGTAGTTTGCTTGTGACAACTGCTTTTCTGATTTACAGCATTGTCCTGGCAATATAGCTGTTATTTAGAATAATCTATGGCTAATATACCTCTCATAGTCTGAATAAAGTAGACTAGCATCTATCAAGTAGTGAAGTATACGTTAATTTGAGAAGCATAATGCAATTATATCATTGGTATAAAATCATTTGGTAATTTTGTTAAAAGGGAATCAGCAGAATGGCTGAGAACATTATAGTATTTACACCAATGCCAAGCTCAGATAGTGCATTGCAGGTATGCACAAAAAAAAAAAAAAAAAAAAAAGAAAAAAAAGAAAATTGAAGTCTTCTTTTATTTACAGATGGCAGCCAAAAGTACAGCAAGTAATTGAACAGCTCACAGATAAATTAAATAATTGTACAACCACTGTCAAGACTTCAACGGTGACTCAGCCAAAGGAATTTAATTTGACTGTACCTAAACCTCGTGCCATTCCTATACCTCTGCCAATACCAGCACTGGAAAAAAGTCAGCCTGTGAGTGTTTTTATTCTTTGTGAGATATTAAGTTTCCTGTGTTCTTAGGCGCAGCTATGGGGTGTGGTTAATAGCTGCTTTCAAAATAATTGTAGAAAATCTGCAACCTTTGGGAGATCAACAAGAGTAATGCCCTGAGTCAGATCAGAAAAGAATCAGAAGGGAATATTCAAATGTCAGTTTTATAAATTTCGACTGATTTGTTTGTAGATGAGCTCTCACTAAAATAAATGACAAAGTGATTTTGATGAAGATGTTGTGGACTCCAGTTTTGCAGCTCCTCCTTGAGGGTGGAATTATTTTATTACTATTTACATTAATGTTGAATCTCTTAAATTAATATTTTTCAGTTTAAACTTATTGCTCACAGTCCTTGAGATTAGAATTTATCTTTGAAAGGCCAAGTTTTCATTTCACTAATTGTTTAAGATCCTGAGTCAGCTGCACATGTATAAATCTGGAGGGACACCATTGATTTTAAGCTGGGTCACTGGGATAAGGCAAACAGGAGTTAGGGGCAAGTTGCTGTGACTAACTTAATCAAGAATCCGAAGTGAGAGGTAAGCTTGGAAGTCATAGTTTGGGACATTATCTGCGACCTTCTATTAGCACTTCAAGTTTTAAATAATACATGTGTTGAATGCTTGTAGAAACCACTTAAATCTTAGGACAGCAGAACAATTTAATGGTAGTATGTTATACAGTTAATAGGATTTTACACTGAAACAGCTTAATACCAAGCTCTGAAAAACTGCATTTAATAGCTACTTAATCAGTATAGGAATGAGTCATATTGCTGTCATTTTAGTACCTTTATGCTGTGCAGCCCCTCTTAAAATAAATTTGCTTTAATGCAGACATATTTACAGAAGTTCTTTTGTGTAGTTAGTATTATATTAAATGCGGCTTACATTCTGACCAAGGCTGCTAATTTAAAAGCTTGTGTGAATCTCAAACCATTAGCATAGCAGTGACATATGTTGTGCTCATTTCTGCACCTATCTTAGCAAATTAAGCTTCACTTTAATTTGCCATATTGTTGCCAGCATCACCATTTTAGATCCTGAACTTTTGGCAGAGACTGAAAAGCCAGCCCAGATGGGAAGAATGAGGTAGGAAAGTGAGAGCAGACCATACTTTTGGCTACTGCATGATAGGGAACTGCATGTAATTGGGATGAATGCACGAAAATAAGCCTCTTTCTCATAGTATCCCATAATCTACCGTAGAATATTTTCTTCCATTTTCTCATGTAATTGTCCCTCTTTTGACATATCTTTTTCTTCTCATAATTCTCACTCATCTGCCAAAGAACCTGTCATGTCGCATATGAGCACAGAATATTGCAGTCACAATAACTAGAGCCATAGTTACCTCTGGACTTTGAAACAACCGTGTGATTTAATATGGAGGTGTTTGGATTTTGAGCAATTATGCTGCTTGCATTCGTATGTGAAATTCATTCATTTTGATTAATAGAAGTGTTGCTTTAAGTGTGTCTTCCTGCTGGGTTACCTTATATTGTGCAGTAGAGATAAACCACTGAGTAAGATGAAAGGGATCTCATAGCTGCACAGGAGGGCATTGCAGAAGGGGGTCATTGCAGAAAACAGGATGGTTGCCTTAATCAGTGGTCTGCATTGAGTTGGATCCCTTAACTGACTTGTGTTCCTTGCAGTCGCTAGACCCACAAGGTTATGATCATCGGGGGTTCTCATCAATGGGGCAGGCAGCTTTCCATTGATGTTAGGTTGCCTTCCATGAAAGAAATTATTTCACTGAGAAATTTAATGAAACCTCTTGATCTAAAGAATAAAATCTCTTTGTCACCCTTTGCGCACAAGCATATGGATGAGCACACACACACACACTCACAGATACAGTTCTTCAACACTTTAGCTTGGAATTTGGGAAGCAAAGGGAGACAGGTGCTTAAATGTGATAACACGCAAATGGATTTGGACACCTTTTGACTCCCTTGGATATCTTGGCTTTACAGTGCAACAAAATCCATGCCTTGAATATCAGCATTGTAATAGAATAATAAGGTTATGCAATTATTTTGTTTTTAGAGTTTCTAAAAAGCTATAATGTCATTAAAAAAATGAAATCTCCACTGAGGTATGTTATTGTAAGTCCAGTTAGTTTATGTGTATGCTATAGATATTTTCCTTATTGTTTTGTCTGTGCTTCATGGGTGGAGTTGCTTCCTTGTTTAAAATAATTACACGTGTGGAATGGCCAATAAAGATAATTTTGTTTGCAAATTTATAGATAATGCTTTAACTTAATGATCTTGTTACATATAAAAATAGAAACTCTTATTATATTAAGCATTGCATTCGCCTGTCATTGTCCATCTTACAAGAGTAATTTTAAAGTATATATTCACATATATGAGTGATCCCTACCAAAATTCAAAGTGATTATTCATCAGTTTGCCTGTTTTCTCTCTCATGCCTCTTCTTGAAGTTCGCATTCTCTGGGCATTGTAAAACTGCCTCAACTCATCCAATATGAGCATTTCTACTTGCATACATATTGGGGTGGTTAAATAAAATTGAGTGAGTTTCTTAGAAATCACTTGTCACTGTCTCAATATTTACTACTTTATGTCTTGAAGGCTCTAGTCTGTGTTAGGGAGGTCGCACTGCAGGACCAGGGGCTGTGTCGGGGCTGTTTGAAAGGCCTGTAGTCCTTCTGCTTTCCACATCCGTGCCCAGTGTCAGCTCGGAGAGCAGGTCATGCCATTTTGCTCTGCCTCAAGCTCCTGTGGTACCTATTTAGGCCTATTTAGGTGTTGCCTAAATAAACATCTAGTATAAGGACATTTAGGAAGCATAGGTGAGCCTGACTGCAGGTTGGAAGGGAAAAGGGAGCATGAAACATTTTATTCTCAGTCCTTTTTTGTTCATGTGGCCATTTAGTGGATACAATTTGGCGTTTCTGATCTCTTTACTGCTGAAATTTACAATTTATTTATTGTTTTTTTCATCTTCTTCCACCTAGCATCTTTAAGGAGATTTATAAAGGGTAATTGCTGTATTGTCTATCTGTCTGTCTGAGCAGTACTTACTATCACCATGGTATCTGAGGGCTAAATTACAAGGCTAGGATCATTTCTGAGACAAAGCTGCCTGAAAAGTCTCCTCCTTAAATTACGCAGAATAAGCCTAACAGTTTCTGAGGAGAGGGAAATTTTCAGCTTACCCTGGCAGCTGAGCACAGTTTTGCAGGTAAAGCACATGACTAGGAAGAGCAGAGAAATACACTGACACTCACTGCTTGTCCAACCCTTTGCAAGTCCTCTGGGCTCCGATTTCTCCATCCGTAAAAGCATAAGAAGAGTTCTTAGGTACTGCTGGGAAAGACTTTCAGTTCTACCTCACTTAAAAAACTCCCGGCAATGCTTGAGCATTCTCACCGGTGCATTTAATTGCTAGCTTTTTCTGAGCGTTTGTTTGCCTGTCGCTAATGATGTCGGAGGGCAAAGGCAGTGGAAAGTGTATCAGGTACGTGAGTATTTCAAAACATAGCTCTTTATATAGCTCAAGAAAGCTGAATGGGATCTCCTTTTCCCTAGCCCGATCTCATGCACGATACTGATTGTAGATTTTTCCCAGGATTTCTTGAATTATTTCTGTAGCTTTTAATTGAACTCGCATATTTTTAGCAAGATAAATATGTAAGCAGATGTCCTTTAGACTGGCAGACTACCTCACCCACACAAGGAAGAGACACCCAGTCTTATTTCTAGACTTTGCTTCTGGACAAAATCTATTGATCAAGTATATGAGCTATGAGCTAACACACACAAAATAGCTTTTTGCTTAACAGCAAATACTGAAATGCCCTCGGAGCCTCAGCCTAGCTCAGTGTCAGGCATTCCCCGTTCCCCTGTGCCCCTGCAGTGCTGTAGGACAGCCCGGCTCCTTCTCTCCTGCCTGTTCTATCTGTACTGCTTTCTGACCTGCGAACGCTTTCACAGCGCTATGAATCATGCTCAGAGGCCCTCTCAGTCATCTACCACCAAATATTTACTGTGCATCTCCAGTGATTCCCCCTGCACAAGAACATAAGGGCAGCCACTATGAGTCGGAAAAAAAAAAAAAGGGCCATTTTGCCCAATTTCCTTTCTCCAGTAGTGGCAGAACCTGATACCTAAGAGGAGTACAGGGACAGGACAAGCCTATTTGCTGCTTTTTCCAGCTTCCTTCCGAGATTCCAGCCTCCAACCAAAAGCTCCCTGAGCTATAATTGACTTCCAAGGCATTTAAATAACCCTTAGAAAAGGTCTGCTCCCAAAGCTGTAGGAACATCTGTAGACTTGTAGCTACTACAACACGCAGTGCCCAAGCTCCACAGCTTCACTTCCTGCAGATGCCAGTGCCAGGAAATGGAACTTGATGAACTTAATGCCCAACAGAACATTTTCCCCTTCCGGCAGCTTTTCCCCCTCAATAGGACCTATCGGTTTAATCTTTAGCCTTTCTTGTACTAGTTTCAGGGTTTTTTTTTTCTTTCTGGTGTCTTATCCAGGGTTTGTGTCACGCTGGATAGGCCTGAAAAGCCTGGGCAATCCCAAGTGACTGGAATCTGCCCATGTTTTCTATGCTGTTACAAATAGAAAAGAATATTTAAAAAAATAACCTTACCTATTTTGCAGTATAGGTGAATGTGATTATCTCAACAAGCGTGAGTTACTTGCCATGTTTTATATCATGTATTATGCAGTTTATTGCCTTTTAATATAGGTTCCTCCGAGCACCTACAAAACCCCAAAGGAAAAAAAGCGGCTAGAAGAAATCAAAATAAAGAATCGACGAAAAGCAGAAGTAAGTGTATTAGATTCTTATTCTACTCTTTCTTTCATCCTTTCTTTCATCATTCTTTTTGGAATATGTTTCAGTTTTCAGAAGTCTTAGAAGTCTATCTGGAACAAATTTGCGTTTGCATCGCAACAATTATAGCTTCAAAATTCAAAATATGCTCAATATTTGTGTTAGTTTTCTATACTAACTGATAAATAACCACATGCCATCAGTCACTACTGAAAGATCGGCAGACTCTGACTTATTGCAGACTGTTTACTCATTCTCCTAGGAGACTGAGAGTGGGAAGTCATGGTTTGTAAAGAAGGAGAATACATGGTCTGTATGCTAAAAGAGCAGGAGATGGGAGGGTCTGGAAAGCGTCCTCACACAAAGAAACAGACCTAGTTATTTGAATTGATCCCAACTTTGACCTGAATCCTGTTCAATGAGTTAGCTCCTGTTATAGGTAAAGCAGACTGCTGTCGTCTGCTCCTTGAGATGAAATTAATTAAATGTCAGGTCGCACTTCTTTCCTCCTTCCCACACTGTCATCACCATATCCAATCCAATCACACTATAAGCTTGATAAAACACATGTGATTGACTTTCTATCTTCACTTTCCCACCTCCGTTCTGCAAATGCCTTACTCTAGCTTTCATTAGCTGGTGCCAGACTATTTATCACATTTCTGGGCTATTCTCGTGTCCTTGTGAAAGGAGCATTGAATTCTGCTCCCAAACTGTAGTAAATGCTTTAATGCGTGATATATCCTCGGGTGGGTACCCTTTACAGTGGTCTTTTTAGTGTCTATGTCACTGTATTCATTATGAAACCACACTGCATTATTTTTTACCCTTTTATTATTCCCACACTGTGCAGAAAGCCCTTGCTTGTTGGTCTGTATGCTTATTTGTATGCACAAACTTCCTAGAAACATGGGGAAAGGAAAGTAAGATAACACAGTGCCTGATTGTCAAAAATCTATGACAACTGTAAAATTACTTAACTACCAGTCACATTCTTCAGTGGAGAAAAAGCATGAATAAAGGGAACAAAGCAAAACCACCACAGAAATTATAGCTGCAATAATAGCAGGGTTTTTTTCATCTCTGGAATGTTATAAAGGCATCCAAAGCATTCACAGAGGTCAGTTCTCTAGATAATTATTCAGCTAAACAAGCTGAAATGGTAAAGAAATCTGCAGTAAGAAATGTTGTTTGTTTCTTTGCATTTTTGGAAAAGCAGTGACTGCCGTGGTAAGCATCATGTCCAAACAACTCTAACAAGGCATGAGAGAACCCTGGAAGCTGTACTCTAGCAAGCCTATGGAAGCACTGGTGTTATAGACAGCTTCTGTCAGGAATTCCATTGGAAAATCTGCTCTCTGATTCACACTTTCGTATTTTTCTCAAAAGAAAGATTAAAAAAAAAAATAAAAAAAAAAAACAGAAATTTTCATTCTGGCTGCCTATACTTCCCCCCTTAAAATGATGGATGTTACTACTTGTTACTACTATGTCCCCCTTGTTACTGCTATGGATGTGCCAATCCTTGGTACTCAGAGCATCCTCTAATGCACCCCTCAAAAAAAAAACACCACCACCACCAACATTGTTTGTCACATATATTAAAACAGTTACTATCTATGATTCTGATGTACCATAAACAATTACGATGTTTTTAACTCAAATTCTAAATGAGTAATGTATTCCCTAACCTATCAAAGGGGCTGATGCAAAGGGTACAACCAGGTAGAACTATTCAGAAAATCTTGTCTGCTGCAAATCTCTCACCAGGAATGAAATTCATATCAATACTAATTCTAGGCTTCATTCACCAGAAACAAATTAGTGTACTAGTCAAGGCTGCAGGGCTTTTTCAGATGGGAAATTCTTAGTAGGGAATTCAAATGTACCATATTTTTATGCTACTGACTTTAATTTTAGGATCTGCTTCTGAAAGCAAATGTGAACCAGTTCAGGTGTGCAGCTGTGAAGCTTGAAAAGGAAAGGGTATGTAAAAAATACTTTATTACCTAGAAATCCCCCAGAATTAAGATGAAAAATGACTGAGGTGTATAAAAATATCTCAAAGTACTTCAAAATCTGGAATTTATTTAGGGTGAGAAATTATGTACTATTATTTATAATAGTGTGATCATTTCACATTCATGTTATTATGTTTAAATTATATAGTATATTAACATGTTCAGCCCCATGATATCCAAATGCTTTAACACTGCTATCTATAGCTTACACCACAGAATGAAGTTACTAACCACTAGTAGAATTCTAAATTAAGCAATTTCATGAAGTATGCCTTGGCACCCTATTTTATCTTCCCCATATTTATATTTCAGTTAAGAACCTATTAATATTCTATAGGTAGAACTTAATAGTCAAACAAAACACCACTATTATGTTTTTGTCATAATTTTAGCCAATAATTCTATGGTAATCAAAAACATCTTGACAATACATTTTTATTTGGACCTACTTTTGTGCCATTTGATACTAATTATTCCCACTGAGCTGAGTATACCTAATAAGTTTTTAAGGATATAACTATTGCAAAATATATCCCCCGTGATCAGCTTTGTTACACTAGAAGAATATTCTAGATGCATGCTTTTCAGTAAAGAGCTACTGGTTTTTGCTGAGTATTTGCAAAACTATCTTTGAAATGAAAAAAGATTTTGGGGAATTTAATTGCAGGATACACCTGGCAGTATGAAGAGTAAGCCAGCATTCCAGGCTCAAAAGATCCAAAGCAGGGTGAGTAACATTTAAGATGCAGTTGTCAGATGTACTTGAAGACTTCGGAGTGAAAAATACACAAGCAAATTCTTTGTTCATACAAACTCTACTGGAGTCTATAATTTTACATGAGGTTCTGTGGCCAGGAGAACTGGATGACTTTTCTGTGTCTGTGGCTTACGGGCCTGTGACAATCCACAGGGAAATGGCCAGGGAGCAGTAGAAGGGCAACTGCTCCATGAGGCAACACGAGCGAGGAGCCAAGGGTGACCAAAGGACAGGTCAGGATGTAGGTGCTCAGTATTTGAACAGGGCAGGTTGGTGGTAGTGATGGTTTGTTCTGATAACCCAGTGATTATCAAACAAAGCAGAGTAATGAGAGAGGTCTGTGGCCTGTGAGGCTACCCCGGAAGTCCAGTCTGGAAGCAGGGCTGCAACGTAATTCCAGGGCCATGCTGGAAGTCCAGTCTGGGTGGTGGGAGACAGAACTGGAGCAGTGATGAGGAGCAGAGCTCTCTCCAGCATTACATAGGCCAGGACTGAGGCCCAGACCTGAGCTTAAACGGTGTCATGTACCGGTGGGTAGAGGGGGTGGGTGGAGGTCTCAGGTGAGACAGCAGTTGACTGTCATAAAATTATGTTGAGGTCAGAGAATAGCCCACAAGGAAATAAATTTATGAAGCCAGAGTTTAAGGACTCAGTATAGGGACAGAAGAGTCTTGTATCTCTAAATCCCCATTTCAAAGTGAGACCATAAGGAAATAGCAATGATTCCAGTAATGGCTTTCTGATTTCAATGTACAGTTTGGAAGTTTATCTTGCTTCCTTTCAACATGTACTCAAGTCATAAAACCCTCTGTGCTCATTGCTTCTCTGCTGTGGTTTCCAAGGGTCAGAGAACTGTGAACATGGAAATGACTACTCACCCATAATGGTAAATAGCACATGAAAACTCACGCTGGTATTTCTGCAATTACTGTGCTACAGACAATCTTCAGTCTTACATCATTCAATCTGTCACTTTTCATTTGCATCAAGTTCGTACCAGAATAATTGAAAGCAGAAGCTGTGCTTGTATTGTGCCCTCAAACACTTTGTGTGCTGATCTATGTACTCTTTAAAGCTGTGAATTTGGGCATAGCTCATTCACACTTTGGAGTGACTTATTCCCTGATTGGGATACATGGGCCGGTGTATGTCCAGGTACTTTTAAATTACTGGAAAGCAGTAAGCACCTAGCTCTCTCCAAACTCAAAGGAGAAAAAAGCGGGAAACATTTATACAATTACACAAACACACATGACCTATAGTTATGTGATCTTGATTCAAGTCTATGAATATTCCACTTCCTCTCCTGATAATCTGAAATATTGAAACTAGCTGCTGGTTGGTGAGAATCAAACCATCTGTCTAAATCGCATAAAGAAAAATATGGATTTTGTATCTTATTGCATTGACCAGAGACTTTTAATATTTGCTAGTATCTTCTCTCGGAACACAATCAGTTTTATCTCACCTAAACATATTTATCTTAAAGGCTGCTCTAACAAGCTTAGATAGACATATTATTAAGGAGGTTTAAAATATAAATTTTTGTGTTGTCCTGCTCTTGAGCAACACTGTCTTTGAGCAGAGAGTTTAAAAGGCCTAAGAAAAAGGTGTTTATCCAAGATGTATAAATTTGATTATAATCCTTCCTCAAAGTAATGAAATTATATAAAATTTAAACCAACTAGTATTTTCAGTTCCCTACTTATTAAGATACCCACACTATATTATACATATTTTTTCATTTCAATCAGGCACATTTATTATGTGCAGTCAAAGATTATTTCTTAGTGCTGTAACAAAATCTTTGTTCATCATTTTCCACTGCAATTATAAGACAATACAGATGCCTCATTATTCTGGTTCATTCTGGTTCTTGCTCATTTGGGTCTTACCTCCTACATATTTATTGGTTTTGGTGAGCTATCTTGTGCTTATAGGTGGAAAGAGTGAATACATTTTTTTTTCCACAAGAATTACAACAGTTTGCAATTTGCCAGGTTCTTTCCATTTTCCCAGCTTGAAAAAGGGGAAGGTACCACATGGCAGAAAGGCAAAGAGTACAGTTTAAATATTCACCAGTCTCACTTGAAATTGAAGAATCTCCTCAGTTATTTTATTTCTACTTGTCTGCACATATTTTGGGAGGTCTAGTTATTTTGGCTATATGGACTTCAGTCTTATTTCTGATTAATAAAGTGGGAAATTGAAGTTAAAATGATTTCCATAATCAGTCTCAGTTCAGTTCTCTATCCAAATTATAGTTAGGAAATGCAGAGCGTGAAATTGCCAAAAATATCAGCATTTATATATATGTCAGAGGAAACTTCCACTCTATTGCCAGTATAGTGTAGAATGTACAGGCTGGAGATGGAATGTCTACATAATGCAGAAACATTGGGAAGGGCTGAGAAACGGAGCAAAGAGGAAAGAAGATATCATTAGACGTAGAGAGAGTAAGTATATTGAATCAAACAGAAAGGAAGAAAATACTTAGGTTTGTTTACTTTCCTCTGCAAAATTCTTTGAGTTATTATTTTGCTATGGAATAGTCAGGTAATTATTTTTTTCTCTGTTAAAATATAACACCTATGTGGAAAATAAATTGACTGTACTTAGAAATTTCTAGGTTAGGTTTGTTATCCTCAACCTATATCATTATCCCACCAATATCCCTTGGCCTCTGATCAGATCGGGTCAACTTTATGCACTTGCAAAGTGAATAGATCACTAGTGCAAGGTGCATTTGTAACTGGCAGAGAGGTTGTTCTCCTTCTCCTCTCAGCATCTAGAGGTTTGAAGGCAACACTTTGAAGAACTTCAAAGAAGCCAGAAACTCTTGCCCAAGTAATGCCATGAAGAGGACAAGTCAGTGAAATCTGTGATTTGTTTCTACTCTCTAGAAAATGAATATGGAGATAGGTGATACCAATTACAAGTATTTTAAAGTTTAAATATTATTTACAGAGCATGTTTGAGGTTTTTCTGTGGAAAGTACTGCTCATATTTTACTTTAATGTTTTTGGATAAAGTTTCTTCTTTCAGCACCGCATATACAAATGATGTTGGAAGCAGTTTATTTCTTTTTCTAAACCAGATGGCATCTTCTTTCTCTTACAATGTTTTCATGCACACTGTGTTTATGGGTACTGAAAAAAAAAAGAAAGCAAGTGAACACCTTCTATGGGATTTGACATGGTCCAAGAGTGATTACAAATTTATAATCCACTTGGGGGACTTTGCTGATTTCTTAAGCAGCTTGAGTGGTTTATGAACAGTATGCAATTTCATTGTTAATGTCAGATTAATGTTAGATGAATGCTTTAAGCAAAATTTATGCTGTTTTAAGTCGATTTATTTAACCCATTGAAATGCTGCTATACGTTGTTTTATGGTTTTCATTACTAACTGTAATATATACATACCCTTTCCAACAGATTGACAATATACCTATTAAATTAAATGCGGCAGCTATTTTAAGAGAGGGTGCCCTCTACCAGCGGAAAATGGAACAGGAGCTCAAGAGGTACAGTCATGCGTCCTCAGATTATTTTTCATTTATATTGATATAATTAACTACGTTAAAAATAATAAAGAAAACTCCAGATAAAATAGTATTATGGGTCTGTTGTAAAGTATTAGGAAACTGTTCTGCAAACATAGCTGACAAAGAAAAGTGGACTAAGATGAAGTCTACATTGAAGTCATGGCTTTCCTGTAGGTGCAATCCTGGATGACTGTGTTCTGAATAGTACTGTGGGTGATGCCCACTCGTAAATTCCAATAAAGATACGTGTTATATATGTTCTGACTCCCCAGAATAACTAATGAGCCAAAGGCACATCTACTCAGCTGTCCATTATAAAAATGTATATGCACATATATTAAGCCAAATAATTTCTTATATTTCTATTTTCTTCAATGTGTGGTCAATTACATACCATATTTTATATATTAACTTGTTTACATATAAGTACTTGTCCATTTCCATTATAATCAGGAGTGAGAGAGGACCGATATTGTGCTGTTCCACAAGGTTGGAGGTCAGCAGCTGAGGTTGACAGCAATGCATGTAGGAGCAGTGTCCTCACCAGCACGGGCTCAGTCCTGCAGAGCCCAGGCAGGGCAGGCAGTGACAGGAACCAAGGGCAGTCAACAGTGCAGAGATTGCCAGATGAGTCCATAGCGATGAGTCGGGGCTGAGATCAATCTTGGAGGTTAAGTCAATGAGACAGGGCCAACAAAGTACAGAGCTGAGCACCGGCATATCCGTAGCATAGCTCGGGCACACACAAAAGCTGTTGATACGAGCCAAAATGCATCTCTCAAGCAAAACAGGATTCAACCCTGCACATACAGCAAGACTTCTCACAGCTTGTCCTCACACAGTTCTTACAACTGCAGATTGACTGGTTTACAAGGTACACCAGGTCAGAAATGGCCTTAAACGGGGGCAGATCAATCCTTGGGGAAATGGACAGGAGGGCAAGTTGTGTGCTGTACTGGTGCACATAGAGCTCTTGGCTCTGGCAAGGAATCCTGACTGTGGCTTTTTGACCAGCATAGGTTTTCAGCTAACATTAAGTAGGAAGAGACTGACTCCAAAACAGTTGTATTCTTTAAATAAAAATGCAGAAAATGTTCACTAATTATTTTAATAAAGATAACACCTAGATTATGTCATTTTGAATTAGTACTATTACTGATCATCCTGACTCAGCAGGCTGCACACCAAGCATTGCTAGCATTTTAAATCCTGGAATGACTGCAGAAAGTTGCATCTGGTTTTGGGGGTCTAGCAGATTTTGATATATGAATCAGGACATTAGCAATAAGACATTACACATCACTCAGGTTATGCTATCAGTTATCATTAACAGCTGCATAGAATAGTGAAGGGTTTTTATATATATTATCTATGATATTGTTCACTCTTTCCTGCAGTTTTTTGGTCCATGCAGCAAAGGAATAGATTTACCCTTTAACTTCATGCTATTGTATATTCATGAGATTTAATCTTCAGCTGGGTGTAAGATAGAACAGATACTTATATAGAAATTTGGGAGCAGCAGGAAGGCGTGATTCACAGTGCATTTTTGTGTCCCTGCCCTAATTCTTGGCTCATTCAGTCCTTTGCTGCAAGACTTTAAAGGGCCTGCCCCAGAGCTTTGCTATGCTTTTCTCTCTCAGACAAGCACAGTAAATAAGTACATAGTTTTGCTTAATAGCTGAATACTTCTTTGCCGCAATACAACAATGCAGTTGTATTATTTAATTGAAAAAACACAAAACAGTAATAGTATTAAGGGAAAGAGCTTTTTAGTTCTTTGTGTTAAATTGGCCCAGAAGATTGTCAAAAGATAAAAAGTACATGTTCCTTTCACTGCTAAGCAGAGAAAAACTCTAAATTATAAATTGCTCTGCAAAAAATATACATACCTTTGGCCTGATTTTCCCTGCTCCTAATTACTAAGAGAATCCATATGGATAAAGTTTGCTCTCTCTTGCAGTTTAGCTTTACTGAAAACTTACAAGTCCATGCCCTCCTGCACTTCCTTCCACACTGAATTTCTGTGGCTTTCCACATATTAGGAACATCTCTTAGAGCTGTCCCTTGGAGTTCAAATACACCTGTCGAATGACTTGTCAATGACTCTTTTTATTTATCTGTAGAGTTAAGTACCTTAGGTCACAAAAAATAACTAGAAATGTTCTACAAACCGTGGTGGCGCTGAACCAGATCTCTGGTACAGTATCTCTTCTCTCTTGCAGAGTTGAAAATCTGCTACGAGGTGCCAGAGACCCTTCCGAATTCTTGGAGTGGCAAAAACAGATGCGTGGAAAAGATATCGAAGAGCAGTTGGCTGAAATAGAGTATAAGAGGCTTCAAGGGAAACTAAGTCATGAAGAGGCAGTTCTAGCCCATCAGAATGTAATTCAAGAAAATAAGAAGAAAGCTGATCTAATGAGAGAAGAGGTAATACATACAATGTTGAGGAGATTTTGCTTATATTCAGTCAGTGCAAATCTTATAATAGATTATATCTACTATAACTACATGTTTACATCTTTATATTCTATATATCTTTAATCACTGGAGTTTGCAAACAATGGAAAAATCATCATATAACTCCCAGACATAGAAATGGTTGTATATTTGAAGTACTTTTTACAAGTATTTGATTTGATTGATACTGCTTATGAATTAAATGAATAAAAACAGAAGAAAAAAAATATTCTCCCCTGCATTCATGTCACTGTGAATATCCTTTCTGTACAGATATATTAAGTACCATTTGTAAGGAAATCATCAATATATGACTAATTTCCTTGTACTGTTAACTGAGATCCACAAGTATAAAAGTATTTTTTTTTCTTAAACTGCAATAATTCAATTTAGTCCATGTTCTCTGACATTCATGAGCCCCTCTTAGGGAAAATATCAGTCAGAGGACTCATTTTAGGTAATATTGATAGCTGAATTTAAAAAAAAAGCGCTTTTTTTTTTTTTTTTTTTTTTTTTTTTAACAGAAATGTCCCATATGCTTTGATTTGGGAATGTACAAATCAAACCTGCCCTAGCCTGACTGGTTTCAGGGGTTACCTTTACTTTCCAACAGATGCCAGCAGGTTCCTCCTAGCCATATGGGGCTCTGCAGGAGTGCTGGGCAGCTCTTCCCCAGATACCAACAGGTCACAATGACTCCTCCTCTTCTTTTAAAGCTCTTGATTTTCATCTAAAATAGAAAGTACAGAAGGGTGTCATGCTCTGGGAAAATCCTGCCAAATGATAGTTCTGATTCCTACCCATTTCCTTGGACAAAGAAAGGAACGTGATGGCTGAAAAAGCGCATTCTGCCCAAGAAGATCCTTTTGTTAGAACCAACTGTGCATTAGATGATTGACACATGGCTTCGTGTCTTCTAACCAGAGCTAGAGATGCCTTTTATCCTACTCTTAGGAACATATTGGAGAGAGTACTGGGAAACAGCAGTGCAAATGTCATATAAATATCATACTGGAATGTCATATGGGAAAATAAAAGGTAGAGAGAGGAATCTTAAATCTGTATTGTCTTTTATTACTTTTATGAATGATGTAGACCTTTGGATCCATTTTTACTTGCATTATTCAAATGGTTTGAGGCTTTCAGATAACCAGTTACAAGGACTTTTATTGACCTGTTCATTTGGGATTTAGAAAGCAGAGCTAATGCACCAGTATGCAGAGAAGCGTCTACAGGAGCAGAAAGAAATGAGAGAGCTGGTGGAGCAGGTTGTGGAAGGACACAAGAATGCAAAGCAAGCAAAACTAAAGCTCCAGAAATACAAACAGCAAATAGGTATTTATATATTGTCAAAACAATGATAGATAATGTCAAATGTTTCCAAATTATTTTAGTGGACAACTGTGATCTATATTGAAAGGAAAGGATAAAAGGGAAGGAAAGATCCAGAATATAAATTCCTGTGAATGATATGGTAATGTACAGGTATTAAATCCTAAGCTACAGTCCATGGGAATTACTCTTTGTTTAAAAGGGAAAAATACAACATTGGATGTTCCACATCTACTTTTCCTTCAGTCTGCAAGTAGAAGTATGTGATTGACTGTTCTGACTGTGAAATTAAGTTATGCAGCTCAGATTCTTGTGATTCTTGTCACTGAGAGAAGACTCGCTTAGCAATCTCTTTGAAAGAATCATGCAGCTCAAAATGTCTTCTCCAGAGATGACAGGGCCAAGAAGACCATAGCTAATGAAAAAAGATGTGTTCTAAAGTATACAGCATCTCCAAGATAGCCCAGGGATTGTGATGAAGGGAGAAGATTTTATTCATCCTCAGTAATTTCTGACGAAAATTCTTCACTTAATGCATTAGCAAATGCATTTGGAGCAGAAGGCTGCTCTGATGACTGGCATGACCATACATATTTCAGTGCAGGGTCACGTTCACATCTAGTGTAAGAAGAGGCTAGTGGTAGCTGCACATACATGGAGCAGAGGACTCTCTTTTCTATTTGTGTATCTGCATGTTTGCCTCTGTAAGTGCTCAGGGAGGAGATATAGCAAATCCAAATGGCCTGGCACAGTCTAGCAGCTGTTGAAATTCAATGATTTCAAATATATATATATATATATATATATATATTTGCTGCTGGATAGGATCCTCTTATTAAATAATGAAATAGTATGCATCTTGCTACATTTTACCATTTTTCATCTTAACTAGAACGTAAATTACAAAACCATAATTCAAAATGCCTACTTTATGTATGTGTACATTATGTATGCAGTACTTTCATGTGTTTCATAGAATGATAGATACTGGAGTGGGAAGTAATCATTTGTTTCTCTAATCACTCTTCCCACCGGTGACAGATTGTTCCTTCAAGTACCTTTACATCAGTATTATTATCATTGTTATTCACAAGTGCATACGAATTCTTCTCCAGATGGACTGCTTGTTAAAATATGCAATCAGCTAACAGACATTCATTCTTTTCTTTCAGTTCAGGAAGTTTGTGAGGAAAATCGAGAACTTCTTCGGCAAGCTTTAGAAGAAGAGGAGGAGAAGCTTAGGAAAAGATATGAATTGATCCAACAAATACGAGCTATTGAATCTTTACCAAGCCTCAGAAACAAGTTTGTTGATTTAACTGAGGTAAGCTCAAAAGGAAAAAAATGATTGTCTTTTTCAGAAATGCATATTGTGTCTTTCACATATTCAGAAAAATTATGTACTGCTTACAGATACAGGACAGTCTGCATATACAACATTAAGTACAAAGTGACCCCATGACACAAAAATTAGAAGTGAACTGAGAAGTTCCACAATTTAAAATGAAAATTTTGCCATGATTGTGATTGTAAGTGAAATCTTAGGTTCCTTGAACTTTCTTTGAATTTTGCCAATAGGATCCAGATTTTATGACATCTTTCAGAAAGAGACTGCTGGAGATTAAAACACATAATTAGTCTTCACAGAGTCACAGATCTGTCAGTCCTGAATTCTCATTTCAAAAATAAAGTTTGGGCTGATATTGCAGTGGTGACTGCCATGGTTTTTAGCAAACTTATACCCTTACGCTTTCAAAATTGTCAACATTTAGGTGCATGAAAGATACTGTATAATAAATCCAAAACCTCTGAAACCAAAACTTTTTGATGTGTTGTTTACACTCTGTGCAGCTGACCTGTATGGTTAAGTCCGCCATAAATGTCTCCCAAACTTGATGGCTTCACTATTCATGCACAAAGTAACATATCAGATATTGGGCTTGTAGCACATATGACAGAGTTGTTATGCTGATGCCGAGTGGCTGTTTTTTCAGAATTTCAAAGCTAGAAATCCAGAAATCTATTATCTTACCACTAAACCAGAAGCACAGTAGCTGAAAGCTAGTCTTCTATTTCCCACATCCAAAATGTAAAGAATAATAGCACAGGATAATATAAAATGAAATTAGCAGCTTTAAATTTAATACTTCTATTTTTTTCTTTATTTCTTTCTTTTGAGTATTCAAATAAAGATCTCTCACACACACACAAATCATAGCTAGTCTGCAGAAACCATACAGAAGGGACCAGGTCTTCCTTCTGTGGGGCTGGTGGAATAATCAAGATGGTGCTTCCATTTTATCTCCTGCTGTTCTGAACAGAATCAAGCCATTCATTGGTTTCATTGGTTCCAAAGCTACCCACCCTTTTGCAGAACTACAGATAAATATTTCATCTCATTTACACAGATCTTGGAACACATTTTAACATGTAGAGTAATTGAGCAAGAAGAAAATCAACTCCCTTAATGTGCTAGTCTCCTTTTCACTCCTTGACTTCTCCTCTACTTCTTTTTTCCAGCCAAGTTGGGCAATTCTTTTGTATCAGAGTCAAGCACAGACTCACTCCAGTCATCCCTGAAGAAATATGACCAAACCAATGGGAAAAAGAGGGAAAAAAAAAATAAGGGTACAGAGAATTATCGTATACTGCAGATACCATTAACTACTGTTAACTACTGCACAGAAATGACAGAAATGCACCCTGAACAATATAATTTTTTCATTGATTCCAGGAAGAGTTTAATAAGGTCCAATGAGACCTCGAGTAGGGTCTCATTGCACATTTGTGTTGCAGTCAGAAGAGTCCATGCTGCCAAGACACAACTATATGTAGTCAGACCCGGAAATGTCATTACTTTTTCAATCATAACAACTTCTGTAAAAGTGTGCAGGCTCTCCTTCAGGAAAATGAAGGTGATTGGAATGCCAGTACTTTCTTGTTTTTAAATCTAGTTCATTTCACTGCCATCTAGAGTGGCTGTCAACTCCTCTGATACAGTTTCCACAGAAATCCTATTTGTTTCTAAGTGCAGAATATGGCTTTAAATATACTTTCCCATCTAGCTCATCTCAAAAGACAAAGGAAAAGAGCACAGCAGGTTTCATGTCTTATTTGAAAAAGTCATTCCAAATCCAGCCTATGATATGTGTAAGGTTACCAAAGTGTAAGGTTGCTGATAATGGGCCATACAGGTCATATTGCAAGTGGAAGAGAATGGACCTGAGCAATATATCTCTCATATTCACTATTACAGTGGCATTCAGATTTGATCTAACACACTTCTGGTGAAAGCAAGCCCTTTTTTCCCCCTCTCTTAAAAGACTTTTTCAGACTATGTAAAACTAAGTATGTGTCCATAAAACTCTGACTTATTCTCATCATTTTTTAAGTACAGTTCTTCCCTTGATAGCACTTCAGTTGCCTGAGCACCAGCATCATATAGTGCACAAGAATAGAACTTTTTGTATTTTTGGAAGCACTTTGCAGCCCTCACTGAATATTTTTGAAATGCAGTATTCTATCGCTGCCATTTTACACTTCTAAGAAATCTCTTTCCTAGAACTTTTCAGTGTATCCTTGCCATGCTCATACAAAACCACTGCTACACATGCCCTGTAGCAAAACCTTTTTGCTTTCACTTCCTTCTACAGTTTTTGACTAGGCCAGGATGGTGGCCAGGTGCTAAGCGTGGTATTTGCAAAGCCACTCTCAGTTCAAATCTGAGAAGCAGATAAGCAATCATCAATGTAATCCATGGGAGTAACTGTTGATTAAAAAAAGAAAAATAAAGATGCAAGAAGGACACTGATCAATATTGAACACTTTTATCAGTCTTTGAAGCTACATTTGACTTATGTTTAGATCATGTCTGGTAAATACAAGGAGTGTGGAGAGTTCTTCCTCTCTGTTGTCTTTTCCCTTGGTTCTTAGTAATGCTGCTCTGCACAGCCAGAGAACTATCAGTGAAAGAAAGGTACCTTATGAGACTGCTTAGCTGGCATCCCAGACCAGAGAGGAGGGACTGAGTCCAGGTCAGTTCTTACAGCCAAACTGATAATCTGAGCATCTACCTGTGGGCGGGTGTCCTGCTCTTTCCCAGCGAGTCAAAAGTCAACCACAAACTTGCTATTTGATAACTGAGCTTTTTGGATTTCTATAAAAAAAAAAAAAAGGATTATTTGGAAAAATGCAGGTTCATAAACTAAATAATATCTCTCCATTGAAAAGACTGTAATGAATTTTGATTACATATGTCCATCATTATCATATAATATCATTGTCAAAAATACAATTTGGAAGAGCGGTTGTTTTCTTTGCACCCTGTACATCCTTTTCAAACTTTGTCACTAATTTTCTGTCACTGATTCCACGAAAATGAGGCTTTGTGATCAAAAGTCCTACCAACGTTTCACTTCTAATGTTAAACAACCATATAGCAACAGTTTGATTAAAATCTTGTCAGCACTCACATATTTCATGATAACCACCAGAATGTATGGCACAAGATATGTACCAAACCATATGTTAAACAGGACAAAAGAGTATTAGTTGGTGTGAAATGGGTGAAATTTTGCAAACAAAACTACATGAAAGCTTGTGTAGTTAAGTAATTTTCCCATGTAGGCAAATGCAGATATATGCAGACATAGGGAAAGACAGAGTATATGTATGAGCAGGGCTTGAAGACTTCAAGTTTTCATGAATCATTGTAGAAATGATCCAACTTCATTTGCAACTTCCTTAGGACTTTCAAAGATGTAGATGTTTGTCATTACATCTCTGAATTAGGCTCTTTTCTCTCTCATTCAGAAGTGGATTTTTAAAAGCTTTCACAGAATCACAGAATGGTTGAGATTGGAAGGGACTTCTGGAGATCATCTAGTTAAACCTTCATGCTCAAGCAGGGACACCTGAGCACATTTCCAAGTACTGTGTCAGGTGGCTCTTGAATAGCTCCAAGGATGGAGACTCCACAACCCCCTGAGAAACCTCTTGCAGTGCTTTGTCACCTTCACAGTCGAGCAGTTTTCCTTATGTTCAGACATGGAATGTGTTTCCATTTGTGCCTATTGCCTCTTCTCCTGTCAGTGGCAACCACTGAAAAGAATCTGGCCCCATCCTCTCTACAGTCTTCCCTCAGATACCTGGGCACAGTGATAAGGTTTTATCATTAAGGCATGGCATTACGATTGCAATTTTCTGGGTAGAAATCATTGTTTATTACTAGCCTTCCAAGATAAAAAGAGTGCATACACATCATAGATCAAATCTGTTATTTGGAAATAGATAGAAAGAATTTTTTTGAGACTAAACTCTTTTCTGGTTTTACAAATAAAAAAAAAATACAATCTTACACATTTCAAATAAAATTATAAAAATCCATGCCACTTTTTTTTTTTCTGGCTCTAAAATACATTGCATTTGTGATTAGTCTAGTGCACATTTCAACTTTTTCATTAAAAGTTTTATAAGCCTTATATTTTGGCAAATAATACCTGAAAAGCACTCTAGCACCTGAAAGGTTCATGATAAAGAGTAAGTAAAGGCCTATCTTTCTTAGAATCATAGATTCATAGAATGCTTGAAGTTGGAAGGGACCTCAGAGGTCATCTAGTGCAACCCCCCTGCACACGCAGGGTCACCCAGAGCACGTGGCACAGGGCTGTGTCCAAGCGGGTTTTAAAGATCTCCAGAGAAGGAGACTCCACAACCTCTCTGGGCAGCCTGTTCCAGGGCTCTGTCACCCTCACTGTCAAAAAGTGTTTTCTCAAGTTCCTGTGGAACTTTTGGTGCCTCAGCTTGTGGCCGTTTCCTCTAGTCCTAAAGTCAAAACATTTGACGTGATTGCAAAGTCAAAACATTTGACATGATTGAAGTCAAAACATTGAAGTCAAAACATTTGACATGATTGCAATACAATGAAAATATTCTTGTTTTACTTATTTACTCTTCCCTTGCTATTTAAAGAGTGTTATTTGAACCAATATTTCATTTTCTCTAGACTGGTGGCCATGGCTTATTTTGTGAAATGTCAATAGTGGAACTACGTGAGCGCCTCGCTCTGCTCAGAGAAGCACAGAAGGCAGCAGAGGAAGAGAAGAGAGACCAGATAATTCAGGAAAAACAAGCTAAGGAACAACTTCTTCTAGACAAACTAGACCAGATTTCCCTGTTCAGAGCAGAACTTGGACGAGCAGCTGCTTTAAAGTCAGTACAAAACAGCATGTGGCATTTAAGACACTGCAACTTCATTAATATTTCCCTAGCCCTTTGAGAAGGAAAACAAGCATAGAGCAAAATCCTGCCCTTTTATAAATCAGTAGGACTTCATCCAAAGATTAGTGGGGCCTAGGTTTCCTTTTTATTTTTTTCTTGTAAGTAATTTGCTTCAGATTTAACAATTCTTTTTCATTAATTTGAATTTATGGTTGAAGACACTCCTTAAGCCAGTGACAGTATTGCCCCAGGATTCAGAGCCAAGATCATATATAGGAAAAAGCAACTATGGCTTTCTTTTGTTCCCTTCCAGTTAATCAGAAATAATTTGATTTTATTGGAATCATTCTAGATGGCGACTTTAAAGTGGTTTCTCATTTTTACTTAATATGTTAGGGCTGTATTTTTCTTCCTTGAGTCTCATTTCTTGTGTGGAAGGGCAGGCTTTATTTTAGAAGTTAAAGATATTATAGGAAGGAGATTTTCTTATAACAAATATTAAATTCAAGATAGTGTATCAGTAGATTAAAGAGCAAAATCTTTGCTTACAGACTCTCTGATCAAAATTTATATTCATTATTCATATCTATTATTCATTATTGTATTTATTATTCATTATTATAAAGGATCCATGAGCACTATAGATACTTCATATGTGCAGGAGCCCTTTCACAAAGTGATAAAGTTAAAACTATTTACAAATAAAGCTGAGCAAGAAGAAAGCCTGTATGAATGCAGAAAACATTGCACTCTTCTTGATCTTAGGCCATTTCTGCTGCATCTTGACTAGTTGCCCTTGTTTCCTTGCAAGTTGTCTTTCATCTTTGCCCTTCTCTTTGGTAGCGTACTCCCTATCTTGCCAAACTTATTTGCAAACAGATATTCATGTTGAGATTCTGAAGATATCACCTAAAAGGCTAAAAGTACAAAAACCTTTAGAAATGTCTCTGATTGGTGTTTAGCACTGAGGTGCCAAAATTGGCTTCTTAGAGCTCAGTTCATGTGATTGATTTATCTTCCAGTCCTAATTCCCAATCACAGAAAGCAGTACTGAAGTATTCCTTTGAGTAGCTCTCACTTGGCTGATCCCTAATTTGGCTTGTTGCTGATAGTTAATCTCCAACAAGTAGAGTGCTGTGCTGGTACTTAAGAAGACAGTGTTAGTAAGTTAAGTAGTACTTAAGAAGGTAGTTTAATGAATCAATAACTGCAAAACCAGTGGATTGACTGTATAAATCAATGACTCTCCCTTGCTGGACATGCATAAAGAGAAGGTTTTAAGACTAACAAATCTGAAATGAGTTGCACATGGAAATAAACTCTTATCTGAAAGCATTCAGTGTTGTGAAAGCCTGTGGGAGCAATTCAAGACACTACTTTCCATTACAGATTCAAGCTAGAATTTGAGCTTGTATATCATGTAAATCTGTTTCTGTAGTAACTACTCAAAGAATCATTTGTTATGCTGGATATGCAGCCTTTAGATTGCATGTGGTGCTGGGTTTCTTTAAAGTACACTCTTTGGCTTAATTCAGATCTGAAACTGTTCTGATCCTGAAATGAGCTACATCTGAATAAGAACCTAGTTTAATTTCACTTTTTGTCTTGATAAATTTGAAATGTTACTTAGAACAGACCACCATGCCAAACGTGACAGAATGCAAATGAAATTAAACACTTAATTTGCAGGCTTCTGTTCAGATTCATGGTAAGTAATACAGAAATGTAATTTATTATAATGAAGCCTAGATTGCTTTCCATATAAATAAAATGAAAAGTTTCATTATATATGAAACCTGATGTTGCAAGACTTTTCCTTTCACAGCTCTCAAGCAATCACACATAACTTGGAAGCATCATCTGCTGCAGAGAAGCACCATCAAAGCATTACAGGAATGTTGCTCTTCCAGAATGCATTTAACAGCATTATCATCTAGAATGCAAATCTGTGGTAGTATTTCTGTCAATACGGGAGTACGGCATATTGGCTCATTTACAGATAATAAACAATTTCCAGCAACTTTTTTTTCTAAACAAATCATGGCCATTATGTGTTAAACATGCTTTACAGATGCTTAATCCTGAAACATCTATCAAATCAGTACCAGTGATTAATTGCTTGTGTTGCACTGATACACTGGAGAAGTAAAGATCAAATTATTGTATTTGCAGAATTAATTAATAATTATACAGATAGAAGAGCAAATCTCATCCATTGTGCTAACAAGATATTGCTATGCATCAACATAAAATTGCATGTTATATCTTGAATTGCACTACGTTGAAGGTTGTTGCTAATCAGCTAAGGTATGGCAGCTAAGCTTTGATAAACAAATGTTTTTTTGGTTAGAATCAGTTCAAATTTAATTGGGTCCCTGCTAAGCAGATTTTTTTCAATATAATTTGCAAATAGACATGCTTCAACTCAAAAGAAGTACATAACAACATATAATGAACTATATTACACGAAATAGGAAATGAAACCTGAAAAATTACCAAGACATCAGCCCTTAATAGACTGTGAGCCATGGCATCTGTCACAGCAAGGGCGTCGTGAGCGCCTGCAGAGCCCCTGAGGAGACAGCTCGGGGTAAATGCAGCACCACCCTCTAACTGGTAGAATTTCACACGATCTCACAGTCAGCACTGGCATCTGCAATGGGCAAACACTTCATTCCTCAGCTTGAGGAACACCAAACCAAGAAGTTTATGACTGTTTTAATACATGCTAATGCATTACAGGAATGTCCCTGCGTATTCCAGGTACTATTCCCTTTTATTTCTGTGAGGGTAGGTCCATATCACAACTAATCACAACAGCATGTCAGTGCCCCCATCATCCACTGCCACCTAAGCAAGTCCTTGCACACAGAGTGCTCTTGCCCAGGTTTATTCTCCTGCTTGTTTCCAAGGACATGAGGGTGTCTGCTGCCCAAACCTCCTCCCCACTCCAACACCGGATAGTGTCCACATGAAGTGCAGTGAGGAAGAGAGTGATGGTGACCAAAATTCTGGAGCTGCTCTTGCAGGAAGCCAGTCCCAATGTGGATTCCCTGCGTAGGAGAAGAATCAGAGAATTGTTACACACAGTAAGATGGATGGACACACACACACACACACTCGCTTTTTTTTTTAATAAATTATCACACCATTTTCTATTGAATCTGCAGAGGATTTTTCTAAACATGTACTATCCCATTCTGAGTGGCTGTTCCCTTTGTTTGGAAATAGGTGATAGGGGAGACAGAGATTGTATGAGTTTTGTCTACCTTTAAGTTCTCAAGTGACCATCACAAAATACTGGAATTTTAAAGTTTCTTTTTTTTTCCATGCCTTCCCCTCTTGGAATTTCCCAGAAACGATGTGAAAACTTATGAAACTGTCTGCTTTTTGGAATAGATGCTGATGAGGAGCACATGACTTCATGTAGGAGAAGACTGAACATTAGAGAGATAATAAGCAACTATTTACAATGTTAATTCAGAAGCAGCTGCTGCTGCTTCATGATGTTAAACCTCTTGCTGGTTTTTCTGTAATTGTATTTACAAGAATCTGGATTTGCATGTAATGAAAGGTTTTGTTGCTTATTCCCAGTGACAATATTTAATCATGAAGTGTTTGCATAAAACCATATTGTTATATTCTCCTATATCCCTTTGAATGCTATGCCTTATTACAGTGCAAATAGAAATAATCCATGTTCTCAATCAGATTCATTGATAATTTTTAGACTTCATGCTCTAGGTGTCCCTGCTGGAGCAGGGGGGTTGAACTAGATGATCTCTAGAGGTCCCTTCCAACCTCAACCATTCTGTGACTTACAAATGTTAGAACATAGGGTTTTTAGATGTCAGTGTTAAAAATTAATCTCACTGTAGCAGAGTAGGTAATTATATTAAGGAGGATAAGGAAGTGTTATCCCATCCAGATACCATGATGCAAGTGGCAGAGCAGTTCAGGAACTGTCTCAGAAGGGCAACTGGAAAAGAGAAGCCTATCTAAACCGTTCCTTCTTTTCCATATATTAATCACAACCAGAATGAAGCTAACGAGACAGACGAAGCCCATTTCACCTAAGGTAGAGACATATAGAGACATGTTGTACTACAGCAAAGCAAATGGACCTTTTGCAAAACTTAGAATAACTAAAAATGCTCTGCTACCTTTCCAGCTGAGAGAAGACACTGTGATGATGTGTTATATCATTATATATCTCCTTTGGTAGGCTGACACTTTAGCTCTGAATTGGGCCAGAGAATCACAGCTGCTCATGACATAATATTAATACTGCAGCTTAATGACATCGAGCCAAATGCAAGAGCAATGTTGAATAAAAGATAAAGTCGGATGTAAATAAGTGAGCCACTATATAAGGTAATGTAATCTACATGAAAAAGTGGCAAGAAAATTGTGCCAGCTGGGTGAAAATGAGCAAAAACTGATAACATGTAAAGTCCAGAGAATATAAAAGCAGAGGAAAAAAGGCAAAAGAAAACATAAGGAAGACTATCAAGTAACTGTTCTCCTATTCCTTCTTTTTATGGTAGATACTGTACTATCAATTTATGTCCACATAGACCCACTAACCTCAATTTATACATCATTATCCCCATTGATTCTGAATTTGGGCATTGAGATTACACGGAAAAGAATATCTTTGTTGCCAAGGAATATAGCAATCAAGACGAATACTAATGATCTTATAAAGAAGATGCCATAGTTCTCACAAGCAAAGAGCTGCAGTATTATCACAGGTCTTGCACATATTTTTCCTGAAGAATTTCAGGCCTGAAATGCCTATGAAATTTTCAACATGGTATCCTGTGGGAAAAAGAAAATATTTCATACTGTTTAGTAGTGCTGTTCTGTAAACAACAAGAAGCAAGTTGTGAATAGCACATTTACTGAGCGATATGATTTAAACCTGTTTTCAGTCTAGCTAGTCCCCAGAGGCAAGAGCAAATTCATTATTATTGAAGTAATATATGCTCAGATGGATTATTCTGTAGGCTGGTACTATTTTACCTTTGTTTCTTTTTGATTTTGCAGGCAAGAAGAAAAGAAAAGGAAGTCCCAGTCTGGTGAAAGGCCTGTGAAAGATGAACGCATTTTAAACCTGCAGCAAAAGATTATAGAGAAAACAATGGAGCGTAAAAAGCAAGGAGAACTCCTAAAGATTACTCCCCAGAAAACCAGCATTACGTCAGCCAAGGTCTGGGAGTTACATAAAGAAAAACGATCTGCAATATTGCTGGTGTTCACAGGCCCTTTGCTCAACTGCCACTATAGCAAGTGCTGCTGTATAGTAGAGGCAACACCAACCTCCTGCTTCCTCTGTGTGCACAGCTTCTGTCCATCCAAACCATCTCTCGACCTCATCTTCTTGTCATATCCACTACCACAGATGAGGGCTCATCCAGATGATCCCTTCTTCTCACTTCTCCTACCACATTCTCTCTTCCCACCAAACGAGATCTTACCCCTTGTCCCTAACTCCGTCCTTCTTCCCTTCCTATCGCACACATCCCATAACACCCAACTGTGACCCGACCCCTCTTCTACTCAAGGAAGGCTCCAGTTATCATCTCCCTGATTTTTATCTCACCTTTCTTCCGTCTGGTCCCACATCAAAATACAGAAACACCACTAGGCCCGAAGGCTTTTTGATGGGTTAACATTGGTTGTGTTTCCTTGGCGAGTGTCTAAAGACAAGCAGGATCTGCTGCTTTTCCACCTCCTCATACATGGCTACCACATAGAAGAGGTTCAAGCAGCAGCACCAGTGCATTTACCACAGCTTATGAAACACTGCAGCCAACAATCACTTCTTAAAAGCAGTACTAGCCCTATGTAAAATTAGAACTATATCTCCCAATTTGTTAAAATAATAAATCTTGACATATTTTCTGAGGAGCTTTGATGAAGCTGAAGTCAAGGGAAGAGAAAAGCTGTATTCTTCAAGTGTGTATAGTTCAAAACCGGACACAGTGCCATTTTCCAGAGTATCAATGTTTGCTGCCCTCCAAATCTCCATTTCAAGCCACAAAATATCCCCAAACTGTAGGTGCATGCGGGCAAGGGCCTAATTCCAGAAAGCATTTCCTAAATTGAGGTGGCTTTCTGAACTGAGGCTTTGAACATGAGCTTAAAAGCTTTCCTGACTAGAATCCAGAGTAAAATGAAAGCAGTAAATGGAGACTTCAAAGGGAAGCAACCATATAATTGCGTGTGAATCATTTTTTAAAAATCAACAAAAAGAAATTATAAATTAATAGATAGAATTTTTGACTACCTGATGAGGGACTCTGTGAGTGCTCTTGTGTCATATGAATATGCAAAAAAAATACAGGGGTTCAAAGCTGGTTTGATATTGGAGTTTGTCTTTTTATTTGGTTTAGCTGTAAGTCTCCGAGACATCACAGTGTTTTTGTTTACCTTCTGCTCAGATGTTAAGAGAGCTGTAAGAAAAATCCAATAGAGAAAATACCTCAAGGTTAATATAAATTATTTAGACATTTCGGTGTATGTTCCATCATACTTGGCTCTGTGTGACTGTATTTGGGTGTTATTATAGAGAAGTGGCTTAATGCTGGCCAGTTATGTCCAGCTACATCTTTATTTATTTGTATCTTTACCCAGTTTATGCTGAACTGCCTATAGCTGAAAATTGTGGCAGTATGACTATAAAAAAGAATTCTTCCCCTTATGCAATAGTTATCTAGCAAAACGTTTGTGCTGCTACCTTTTAAGAGACCTCAATAAGCTGGAGAAAATGAGACGTACTCCACGACTAAAGTTCCAGGCGCCAATTGTGGCATCGTTTGTGATGTCCCTTTTGGACCAGGAAGTTTGTGCTGACATAAGCAAAGATAAAGGTTATGCATAAATCACTGTTCAGCTCTTAATAAAGTAAAATTTACCTTACAACTTAGATAACGAAGTAGAAGAAAACTGTCATTAATAGAAAACACGTTGTTCTATCATTTTAAGCCAAGAATCAGATGAGAAAGTCACTGTTTTCTGTTTATTCTGAGCTTTCTTGGCAGTGCTGCCTTTTGAATCTAATTTTTGAATCCACAAACCAGTAGAGTTTGAAAGAGGGGATCTTTGCAACTGTTTTTTTGTAGTTTCAAGTTTAATTTATTGGCAATGGAAGAACATAAGTTAGTGGCACTGAAGCATAACAATCTAGACGTGGTTTTGCCTTGACATAACAGTTTGTGGAGTGTTGCAGCTGTGTTTAATTCCTCCTAAGCTGGGCAACTCAATCAAGTCATGTTTCTATTCATCATGCCTGGTTTGAAGTTGATATGTTTCCCAATCATGTTAGCAAGCTGAATATATCACCAGACGGACAGATTATCACAGAAAAGTTCAGCACATCATCTAAATAGTGCCTTTATTTTCTCTTGTTTCTTTTCTGCAGGGTTCTTTGCACCAGAACCATTGGAAGGAACTGGAAGAGAGTCGGGAAAGGCAGTTCAAGATCCTTCAACACGGCTTCATGGCCAGAGAAACAGCTCAGAAAATGGCTGCATATGAGGCAGCAAAAAGTGGAGCCACAGTTTGTATACTGCGATCTGAAGTAAAATAAAATTCCTTTGGGAAAAAAAGAGATTTGCTGGAAAACTAATCCCAGTGTGCCTCTGTACTTCAGGGTTGAAATTTAGCCTTTGTTTCCTCTTTACGGTTTGAATAGCAGAACTGTGTTCATACAGGCAAATATGAATCAAAATTTGTTGATTTCTTGTCTTTTTATTTTATTTTATTCTATAATGACCTATTTTTCCAGTTAGAACCAAGATCTGTAGGAAACAGAAACCTTGCAACTGAGGTTTCTGGGGCAAAATGATAAGTACCTGGTAAGAACACTGTGTGGTCTCTATTTCCACTACCATTATCTATTATACCATGATGTGCTACATTCATCTTCCTAAAGAATAAAAATGAGGAGAAAAACAAAAAAAGACGAGCAGTATTTGTTCACGCGTGTCTTGTTTGCAAAGGCAGGGTCAGCCCAAGCACATCTCCTTCCATGGCAGTAACAGTGCATGGCGGGAGCACCAGGTTCAACACTATTTTTAAGAGGGCAAGGGGAGAACCGTTCAGCTTTATATGACATGATGGCCCACAGCAGTCAGAGACTAGACCAACTGACATAAATAAACCATTTCTGTATGCACAGAAGTGAATCTTTTTTTTTTTTTTTTTTGTCTTTGAGTGTTGGAAGGAGAATGCAACATTGTTTGATCTCTTTAGGGAACTGCTTCCAGAAAACTGGCAGAAATCTGCTACTTACCTCGAAGATAATTTGCCCTCTGTGACAATTACTGTGGTGTGCATAAAGGCCTTCATATTGCAAGATTTATTCTAGGCATAAAGCCAAGGAGGATATAAATCTGAATTAAAATCTGCATAGCAGTAAGGCTATGCAATGTATTTCTATTTTAAATTTATGCCAGCTACTAAGTGTTTAATTACGGCTATTGCAAATATTTAAATTGAAGGAGACTGTCGCTGCCATCAGAGTCAGGCAGCTGCTTTTAATGCTCTCACAACATCGTACTTCTCACTTTGGCTGCAGGAAACCTAATGGAATTCTTTTGTTGCCATCTAGCTGTGAAGATCACTCGCACAGTCTGCAGCGCTGACAAAACCCGCTGCATTTTTCATTTATTGTCAGTGCTACGGCAGTCCAGGAGAGCAATGTAGGAGTCATGGAGTAGCTTAAAAGAAAGAGCTGGGGATCCTAGGAAAGGGGGAAGAAGGAGAAATAGCCAAAGAACTGCATGGAACACAGAACTATGACACTATGTCTGGTAGAGGATTGAGCAGCTTAAAATGACAAGCACTTGGTGCCAGAGATTTCATCTTCCTTTGTGTTTGCTCAACGCTGTGTCGTGCTCCACAACAGAGCCAGGTCTGGGCTGTAATGCCTCCGTTTTCCAGGAGCCAGCAAATAACAGGACTAACAGTCATGGTCTGGGGTGTTATACACTGAATAAGGACTCCCTGAACCTGTTAGACCCTGCATTTTCAGAATACAGGAAAGAAAGAATCATCATCAGGCAGATGGAAAAGCAATTGTATTTGGGAAGGGCTTTCAATTCTCAAAATTCCAAGATCCTATCCTACTGTGTATTTCTTCCTCTGGGATATCAGCCCAGTCTTCAAAATCCTTGATGAACTACAGTCAAGCTGACAGGGAACTATTTCCTTCTTCACGTTTTCCCTTGCTTTCAAAATGAAACAACTGAGGACAGAACAATCTTAATAATCCAGCTGTGGAAATTCCACCACCACAATTCACAAAGAGCCTTATTCTTGCTACCCGAGGACCTCACTCATTTTCATAAATTTCATGTTTCAAGGAAAGTAAAAGAATGAACCTTGGAGAAAATATCAATGTAGTACTATTTTATTTACATAGTTTATTCACTTTAAGGCGATGGCAGGTCTTACAACAGAATAAACCCAATGAAACCAAAGAATCCGTGACCAACACAGACACCTGGTGCTTGGCAGCACCCGCTCGGCCGAGGCGGCGGGCAGGAGCGTCACCTTTGCTACGGGAGCAGCCGCGGGGCCGGGGAGCAAGGGCAGCGGCACCGCTGTGTCCACCACGGCGAGATGCGCCCGCAACGTGGACGCCCTCGGGCCAACGTGAAGCACGTGGGCACAGCCCCCAGGTGCCTCCCAAGCCCCTCGCAGGACACTGCGGCGCAAGGCGGGCCGGAGGAGGCCCGAGGGGGCCCGAGGGAGGCACCGAGGAGGCCGTGGCTGCGGGGATAAAACTCTCCGACGGGGAGCCCGCGGCACGGAAACACGACGAGCACGAAGATATGTGGCCACCCGCCAGCCCTGAGCGCCGGCGGCCCCCGGGCGGCCCCGGCCCAGCGCAGTTCCCCCGCGGGCCCAGGGGCTCCCGCCGCGCCGCGGGGCCTGGGCGCCGCGCGGAGCCCTTCGGCCGGGCAGCGCGCCGAGGCCCTGCGCGCGGGACTACAACTCCCAGAGCCCCCCGCGGCCGGATGAGGGCGCGGCCGCTCGGCCCTCATCCCTTTGAGTGACGTGCAGGCCGCCCAGTCGGCGGGCGGCGCGGCGGCGGCGCGGCCAATGGCGCGCGGGGGC